TGCAAATCTAGGCTTATGGGATGCATATTCCATTAAAATAAAAAAATGAGTAGTTCAATCTTTGATTGAAATATATTTATGTAATGGATTCTCTACTTCTTATTCGGTATAACTAATATTATTTGCATGCTTAACTTTAGTCGAAGACAAATACATGCCAAATCTTTAGGGTTAACATAAAATGGTTTACTTTTTCACCAGACATATTTATGGCAAGTAAGACTATAATTCAAATAATAAGGCCGAATATGTTACGATAAGTTACAATCTTAACAGTGATGAACGCTGAGAACCGTTTTTACATGCATTCTTTAAACCGAAGTTTATTTACCCCCCAGCATATTGAAAGTGCATTTCATTAAAAAATTATCTTTATTCATTCACTCTGGTATTAAAATTTTAACTCTTATTTGCACATAAGCCTGACGGGCTGTGAACCGTTCCCCGATCAAAGCGAGATGGCTATATACCGAGCCATTCTTCACGCCGATTACAGCCTTGATGGCGAGATTTGGGATAAGATCAGCCTAAATGCTCGCGACCTTGTTTCTCGCCTCATTTTGATCGACCCGAAATTGCGCCTTACAGCTGAAGATGCCCTTAAACATCCTTGGGTGCAAGGAAATGCAGCCAGAGACGAAACACTGCCAGACACAGTTAGCCGGCTGAAAGAGTTCAATTCCAGGCGCAGGCTAAAAGTAACTAGTCTCTGCTTTATTAAAACAGCCACTTATTTACTTTTTTTAATACAGTTTATCAAAGTCCATAAAAGCTGGATATAAACCTCTCAAAGCCTTCCTTAATGCTTTAGATCTGACTCTAGGTAAAGATTCCTTATAGTCCTTTTAATTTTGTAAGGCATATATAACCTGAGAACTACGTTAGGCAAAATATCTTGCTTAGGAATACATTTTTATTTGAAAATGTCTAAAGTAGGTATATTAGTAGATCGATAAAAGGTATAATTATGGCTCCTTTGCTATTTATTTCCACCATGACACTCTTCCTTAATCTTCAATAATCTTCGCCCTATTTCAATGATATTTTTCGTGTTCTTTTTTATTTTACTTTGGCAACATATAATTAAAAATCCTGACAATAAGATGGAGGTAATAAGCTTGAAATTTTGCAATCATTGAGCAATTGATAGAGAGGGCCTCAAGCTATGAAGGTATGAAATAAAAACTTTTGATTTACCTATACACTATAAGAGGAACGATCTGGCAAATTTCTTTCTCCTTTCCCTTCTATCTAGTATTCAAAAGGTCAAGAGCCTTTTATACTGGTGCTTTTCTATAACCACTTTTTATGGTCGGTTTTGATATGCTAATTTTACAAACCTCGTTATAGACATATTTTATCCCATATTTAACAATTAATATAAGAATTGACAGGAAGACGATGAATCGAAATTGAAATTATTGAAGATAAGTAATAGGTAATAATATCATACAGTTAAATGAGATGTATTCACCCTATTTCGTGATGAAGGTGATGAAGTACTGGTAATAGAATTTCCCCACAATGATATGAGTAGAGCTGACATTTTTATTGAATTTCACATAGTCTTGCATTCTCAAAAGTTGTTCTTAATTAGGGTGGACTGCAGTTTCGACTTCGCATAGGTCTTATCAGAACCCCCGTGATAGTGCGTTACAAGATACCTGAGATTAGTCTGTCTGTAATCCGAAAAGACAGCATAATCCTGGATAAACATCTAAACTTTTTTTACGATTTCGTCTCTTTTAGACATTTTCAAATCTTTACCTAGATCAGGAAGATTTACCTGATATATCTCTTCTACGAGTGTTTGCTCAATCTGATTATTATATTATATTAGATAAAAATCATTATGATTACTACTAAAATCTCACATAGGTCTACATCAAGACATATTTACAGTAGTGAGATCTATCTAATGTTAATATAAAAAGCAATTTTTTTATTGTAATGACAAGTACAAGTTGTCTTTATCGACATTTACACTGTAATTTTGATATGTGACGAACCTGGCCTACATTAAAAGATGAATTTGCACTGTAATCCACTAACACCAGTGCCTGCTTTGAATCGCGTTAACATGTCGATAATCTATGCTGTATCCCCGTTGTTCGATTCCCTTTGGATATGCTGACAAAGCACGGGGGGGAGGTCAAAACTTCAATCAACCCTGGGGGAGGGTAACCTATAGAAAACAATGCGAAGAAAAATTAAATGGTATATTGAGGTCTAACTTTATAATTTTTGCAAAGTTAAATTACCAGCTCTTCATCAACTTATACGACTTAAGTTGACTATGCTTCTTATGGTATATGTTACTTTTTTCATTTCACTTATGCACAATACTGTTGTGAAGATACATCCTTGTTTGAATTCATCCATGTATATATTTATATATATATGTATATATATTTGTTTACTTTCTAAAAGTTGCAACAAATACAAATCAGAAGAAAAGATGGTCAAACCCTTTTCCACGATACCTCACCTGGAAGATGTGAGAGATGATGTTCGTTCTTGTTTACCAAAGTTATCGATATTGTTAATATCCTTCTAGTTTGTTCTGTTTTAGTTGAGCAAGTTTCTAGAGAGTTTGTGATTGTCGACTTATATAATTAAAACTAGCTGAACTTTTAGCACGAAAAGATCCTTAAGTTAAAATCTTCTTTATACCAATTGTTGAGCTCATTTCGATATCGACAGAATATGTGACATAAAGATATTCGAAGGATCGATCTCACAAGAAGACGGCGGTTTTATCTTTGCCGGGTGTCGGTTGGTTTTGCTGGAATATTTTTGTTGATAGTGTCTCAGAGGTAATCTCCTATATTTTTTATGAAAATCTGCTAAGTCTTCGCCTCTTTATGAGCAAAATTATCAAAGCTAATGTGTCAAGGAAATTTGCATGCCGTATAGATAAATAAAATGGTGTATTTTTATGATCTATATATTGATTTAGCTCAGGTTAACTAGTCAATCTAGAAACAGGCGAGTGGGCATGCTTATGTGCTCATATGCATTCAATTGTTTATAAGTATGAACATAATGGTTATAGTTCCAAATTAATTAGAATAGGTCTATTAAAAAGTAGTTTTTATTTATTTATTAGCATCCAATGCTTTGCTTAATTATGCTCTTAGCTGCAGACATAGCATAATCAGGAAAACGAAAATTTCTAGACTATTATATCCCATATCCAGTTTCTGCTAATTCTCTGCCACTTTTGATGGATAAATACAACAGCCTCTACAGTCATTTTTGTTTGTTCAGACACCATTTTTTAAGTGGAACGATTATCCTCCCAAGCATAAGTCCGACCATATTAATAACTTGTTTTGTAGCGGCCTGACCGGGATAATTGGTCAACGTTCCTTAAATTTGGAGATTTATGAAGAAAATGTCATAGCTTCTTTAAAACCTGTTTTTATTCCATTATCCTTACCTCTTTGCCTAGTTTTTCAGATAGTATGCGAGAGGGCAAAATTAGGGATTAAAAACAGGTTGCCGTTTCTTCATTTTTATTCCCCTATCCTCCATCTAAAAAAGTATCCCTTATTAATCTGTTATTTTGAAGTGTAAAGGATAATTCTTCTTAAAAAATATTTGTTTCAGATTCAGATTAAGTGGGTTTCTTAACTACCAATAAATCTTCAATAAAAGCTGTATATTTATTTAAGCTCATTATTTAAATGGTCTCCAAACGTTAGTTTTATATTCCAACTAATCATTGATCTGAAATACCATACTCCTCTTTTTAGCTATGGTTAAAGAAGTTAGAAATAGGCCACCACATACTGTTTTCCTAAATACAACCCTGCTCAACTTATCCATCGCCCTGATAATTGAAATATTGCATTTTTATTACTAACTTATTATTAGAATCCCACTGAACTATTAAGAAATCGTTGAATCCATTAATACTACATTGCCATATTGCAAGATAATCATTTATATGAAGAAACTGATAATTTTGAAATTAATTATACCCTAACTCTTAAGCATTTCCTCATGTTTATATTAAATTATTAGCCAAAAGAAGAAATAAGCAAGATCACAGCAAGATTTTTAACACTTGTTCCTAAAATCTATCGTTAAAATTGAAGTTTGCTACTCACCTCAAAATTTAATTTATTATTTATAATAAACCTTAAAGGTAATCCTATCTAGCGCCCCTTTAAAGAAGAAAATTCATTTCCACTTCCCTCATGTTCTTTTGCTTACTCTTACTTTGAACGCTTCTGCAAGTCTAGTCTTAATACCCTCAATGAGATCAATCGATAAAGGTTTATACGTTTTATTGTCATTTAAACGGATCATTTAAAAAATATTAATTGATCTATACATGTTGATCGCCGCTCACCTCTGCGTGCCATAGTATTACTTTGGAATAATTGCTTTTACAAACAACATAGTCATTTTTTATTCTAAACTATCCTTAACTTTCTCTAGCGTCGCGGCGTTAAATTAATTAACATTATTGGGGGACATTCATTTCGTCTAAAAGTGAATGAAGAAAAGATCCGCATGTCGATCTCACCAGAAGACGACTGTTGAATCCCGTTATACCGCAGCCGTTTGGCTTTTATACGACGTTCAGGTTGACGCAGTCCACTATACCTCCTCCCTCGTTTTGTGTGAAAACGGGCTGACCTTCCGTCCATCATATGATGGACATCATCAGAGCTAGAACTCATTCTTGTAAAAGTTTAAAGCAAGACTTGATAAAGAAGAGTATCCGGCTCTATCTTACCTCTTATATAGACTCAAGTAATCAAAAGAAAATAAAAAACCAAAAGGATAGCTACTTAGATCAGCCTTATTAATACTAGGTAAATTAACGAGCATACTTTTGCTAAAACAGTTGGGCTACTCCCTAACCTTACCTAAATAATTCTTACTCAGCATTTTCATTTCTGGTATAACTATATTATGAAGTGAGCCAGTGGATTTTCATTAGCATACCTATTTCCTGGTCCATGTAATTTGCTTCTTATATAGAAACAGACCTAATATTAGTATTACTTTAATAATAATTACTTTAGCTCTCGGTTAAGACTAATAAAGAAAGGAGGAAATTTATATTTCTGGATTTTCAACACAAATATCAAATTACCTCCATCACAATGAAAGGGCTAATGTAAAATTTCTAAAGAATTATTCGATATTCATTAGCAGAATCGCATAAACTCAAGACAAATTACTTAAACTATTAGATTATTTGGACCCTTCGCAAAAGGTTATTACGTTTGAAAAATGTTGAGTTGTTATTTATAGATAATACAGATGGTGATGCAGATATGGAAGACGAAGATTATTATTTTTTTGTATTAGTAAGCAAAATCTTGAGGAACAGTGAAAACACGATAAATATGCCTACCCTCATGCGAATTGGCTCGAAAAGTAGGACCGATGCTATAAAAATGGAAAAATTGTACAATCTTACTGCTTAATCAACATAAGTCAACAAAATAGAGTGCTTCGGAGTTTACAGCATAAACTGCAAGGACTGTAAGACAGGAAGAGCAATCAGCACAAGGATCAAAGAACACCAGCGACCATGCAGAAAAATGGATGCGGAAATATCGGAGATAGTTGAAAAAATCGCCCCTACCGGCCACAAAATTAACTGGAATGCAACGGAAAGACTGGTCTCATATATGGAAAATACCAGAAAACGAAAGATCAGGGAGGCTGTGGACACAATTTTCCAAAGATACCTGATGAAAATGCAATTAGAAGAGAAAAGAGTTTTCAATAATTCCGCGTACTGCTTGGGCAAACTTAGAGACTTAGAGATGACATCAAAAAGAGGATGCT